GATCAACTAAAAACAAATACCTTATTTCAATATAATAATCATAATACTTTTAATATTAAAAGAATTGAATACTATTAATTTTATCAATACTTTGATTAATAATAAGATTTCTTTTTTCTCAAATAAAAATATAGGACGAGAAAAATTCTTAATTACCGAATGTACATCGGGATAAGTATATAACATCTGAGTTTGCTGCCAAATACCTAAACTATAATACTGAGCATTCCAAATAACACGTTCGTCAAAAATTTCCAATGGTTTACAAAATGGTATGGTTGTATTTTCTGGAATGATTTCTTCAGTTTGTTCCTTCTTAATGGAATATTCATCCACACCTACATGAAGTAAGACTCTTAGACCAGCAATGCTAAGACCATCCATACTATACTTAAACATGATGCAAGTTCCAACAATTCCAGTGCTTCCTAGTTGAGGACTATGTAACAATCCTCCTAGATTTTTTGTTTTATCATCTCTTTGTAACAATTTTGATGTTTCAAGAAAAGCATATCTAAATTATATTTGAATTAATATGCATATTAAATTATATATATAAATATATTTATAAATAAACACACCCTCCTTCCATAGTACCAGTAGTATAATCACTTGATGGACCACCCATCCAATTGGTACCCATACCTGTTCCAGCCACCCAGTCTAGTATACTATCACCATTTTGCCATTCACAAAGTGTTTGCGCTGGAAATGATCCAAAATCGCAAAAAACTTCATCTATTGATACTGTAGGTAATGATGCTGCGATTGGTGGATATCTTAAAATGAAAGATATATTTTGAAATTATGCAATTTTAAGAAATCTTTTTAATACATTTTTTTATAAAATACCTTTGCGTCGATGAATTTTTTTGAGTAAATATAAGTGGATAAAATGGGTTTCGTAATAGTGGTGTCTCCGTAGTAGAAGAAACAATTGTTCGAGTATATAAAATATCTGGCCAATGTTTGGGTTCAATACGTTCTACTTCATCCAAGAGTTCACGATCACGATTTATGGAATTAAATGGAAATTGCGTTGAGGCATTGTTAGTAACAAAAGTATCAAAAACATTCTTTGTCTCTTCATTTTCTACACTTTTAGTCCAATTGGGAATAAAACTTTCGTTTATACCAGTGATAAGATCTATTTGTTCTCCAAGCATTGAATTTACGGGATACCATGAAGAAGCACATGTCAACCAGTAAAGACAATAACATATTAATATCAACCACATTTTGTAAGTATAATAGATAATTAAATAGATAATATAATATTGAGATATTAAAAAAAATCTTAAATTCTCGATTACATCGCGAAAATAATTAAAAATTTTTTATTATATATATTGTATTATCAATTTTTTTATCAGATTTAATATAAAATTTTTTACATTAAATTTATTTTAAATTTTACTTTACGAAGATATGAAATTTCGCTCTTTAAATTGCTCGAGAAATTGATTCTTAACTTCAAATATTTTTTTTTTGATTTTCAAAAATTAACAACACATTTATTGAATTTATATACGCAGAAGTATGATATTCCTCTAACTAAAAACGAACTGAACAGTTTTCAAAAGGTGCATGTGATGAAATGAAACGAGTATTCCGCAGTTCCGGTCTTTGCTTCCTGTCGTTACGCTTTTGATCCTAGTATAGAGAAACCGAGTTCGATAACCGTCCCTTGAACAATTCTATTAAATTGACTAATAATTATTAAATATTATTAATAATAATATACAAAAATATATAGAAATATATTTAATGATGATTAAACTTTAATAAAAAAAATATTTATTATATACATATAAAATTACATATAATAATTATTCAAATATAAACAAAAAAATAAATGCTTAAAAAAAGATAAATCATATCTAAATACATATTAGACTAAGAAAGTTTTTTGCGCTTTCAAAAATTTTAAAAATATTTCAGAATTAAAATTTTTATTATCCTTATTAGCAGTATTCAAAACACGTCCTAAATTTAAATATATTCGAATAATGAAAGGCACTAGATAAGGACTCAAAACTAATTGATTTGTTTTTGGACGACAAAATGATTGCTTTCTCAACATTTTTGATATGAGACTAATAACAGATAATGATGTTCCTTTAGGAAGAGGTCGTGGTTTTTCTTCACAAACCTTTTTTATAATTTCTGTTAAAGTCTAAAAATTAAAGTATAAAAACTGAAATGAAATCACAAATTACGTTGATTGAAATGTATTATATTATTTTTTATATATTTAATTGAAATATTACCGTAGCGGAAAATGGATGTTTTTTCGTAATCATTTCATAAAGAATAATACCCATACTCCATATGTCGCATTTAAAATCATAAGATTCACCTTTCAACATTTCTGGAGCCATATAACAAAATGATCCAGCACAAGAAATAATTGATGGATTTTTTAATCTATATAATAATAGTATTATATAAAATCATTTATATTTAAAAAATTTAATATAAATTCTAAAAACTAATTTTTTTACAATAAATGATACTCTTTCAAACTCTTCGATACACCAAAATCTCCGATTTTAATGATATCACCACGACTACCGGTCAACATGATATTTTCCGGTTTTAAATCTCTATGAAGAATCTTTTTGGAATGAATATGATGAACTCCAAGAACAATTTGAGAAAATAAATATAATGCATCCTACATAAATATTTAAATTGAATATCTTATTAAATTAAATATATTATGAAGAAGAAAAAAATATTTTATGCTTCCTAAGTTCTTACTTCCTCTTTAAGTGATGTCTCGTGTGTTTTTAATAAATCCTTCAAAGTGCATCGTGTTGCATATTCCATAAGAATGTAACAGTGATTATCTTCTATCCAAGCTCCATGATAGACTATTATATTAGGATGTCTTAATGTGTATAAACATTTCACTTCTTCTAATATGCTCTAAGTAGAAAATGTATCTGATTAGTCATAATAAAATACAAATACAAAGAAAATTTTTCATATAATAAAACATTAAAAAAATATATATAATATTTTTATAATTATTAAATTAATTATTATTATATAAATATAATCTATTTTATTTTCTTACCTTAAAAGGCAATGCATTTACATTATCAAAAATTTGTTCTTTAATTACGAATGGTTTAGAATCTTTTTTTCGTCGTACTAAATAAACGGATCTAAAAACGAGAATAAAAAAATAAAAAAATTAAATAAAATGTAACATAAATATATACCCAAAAGTGCCTTGTCCTAATAGAGTTTCAAATATATAATTATTTATATGTTTGGACATTTTTAATAAAAATTATAAGAAATAACAAAGATTGAATTTAATTATAAATTTGCAGGTAAATATAACTACCGGCTATCAAGCATTAATAGATTTGTTATGATACACCAATATAAATAAAACTTCGAAACTATTATTCTATTTTGAATTTTTTTTTACGTTAAAAATATCTATATCCAAACAAATATTATAATTAATATATTATTAAATATTATAATATAATTATATATATTTGTTTCTTATAAAAAATTATTAAAAAATGTATAATAATTTATTGATTCAATTAGTTTTGGAATTTTTTCTGGTGTGATATTATAAATTAAATGAAATTATATAAACTACAAATCTTAATGTGTATAACATTAATTTGTGATGTATAAATTAAATTTAATTATTTCAATAATTATGACGTGCATAGATTGTGGGTTTATTATCATTCATAAAAAGTGTTTACAAAAACGCATTTTGTTTGCTCACAATTTATAAAGTATTACTTTAATGCTATTTAAAATCTCTAAAATTCATTAGCAAACATTCTATACATATTAACGAAAGCACATATGCAAAGGTAGGGAAAATTGGGGCATTAAATTACATGTAGTAGTTTTATTCGTCTTTTTTACAAATAACGCAATAAAGATTTTTTTCCTAAAGCGTTTAGATGTATCATATTATATCACGAAAGAAAAGTATGATGACGTAGTTGATCTGATTGAATTGCATAGTTCATGATAGTAAACGTTGTATTCAAGAACACGCAGAAAATTTATTATAAATGATAAAATGACACAATGACAAAAAAAATTACTTTTCAAGAATTGATTGTAAAAAATATCTTGACCATAATAAGATAAAACATAGCTGACAAAACAATATGGCTATTCTAATTTAAAAAATGTACACATTAGATCAATGTATGAACTCTTCAGTTTTAGAATACTCGTGCACACATCGACAATTCTGAATGGAATTGAACGATGATTATGTTGACCAAACATTTACTTCCAATGAAAAAAGCAAATCACCTTATACCCTAGTGCAATGCAGAATTAGATGATACTGCAGTATGTACAGAGTATCTCATAAGATGTATTGTCAAATTTATGTTAAACCAAAAACATCTTAACTATATAAAAAAAAAAAAAAAAAAAAAAAAAAAAAAAAAAAA